TGCAATTTAATTTTCCCTATTTGGACCTGGCAAATATAAATTAACCTTAACTATTAAACGATTTACGTACGAAAGTTTGGTGTAGCCGCTCAAAAATACGTTCGTCTTAATGGTCTGGACTTTAAATGTGACTTTGTCGGTACGAAGATTAGTTTTAAACTGATCATGGACAATTTGGCACGATAATGTTCACAAAATTCAATGTTTTCATAAACCAGATCAAACAAAGGAATTTCCCCAAGTGTGAATTAATTGCCTCAATAAATCAGGCAGAAGGAGACAACCCGGGGTTTCTGTTGAAGAAACATGCTGTATATCTGCGCGCCTTTGAAAAAGATTTAGTTTTGGAATATTAAATTTAGGAAAAAAGAAACACTTGTGCTACTACTATTTTCTTCAGTTATCTAAAATCATAGTTTTTCTTCTAAACATTTAAATTGCGGTTGCGTGAAGGTTATGTACTGATTATCTGAAGGAAGGAAGGTGAATGTATTAAATTATTTCTCCTTATCTTATATAACTACACTGTATCAGGCAGTGTAATTTGGTAACGATTTATACAGATTCGCTAATATTTATTCTGGTAGTTCTTTGTTCCTATCATTATTTCATTATTATACACAACAAATAGTTTATATTCAAGTAAGAATAAATCCACACCGATCCAGTCAAGATATACTAAAGCTAATTCGAACAAGTTTCAGAAACTTTGGGGTTTAGTGGAAGTTTCAATGTGCATTCTGTGAAATTATTATGTGGGTAATTTTAGCTACGATGATGGACAGTTCGTTTCAAAGAATTTGAACTGGGGCATGCAAATGGCAACTTAACAACTGAATTAGTTTCAATTGTGCAACTGCAGTACTGCAGTATTGATCAAATGAAACTCCACTCAATAAAAGGTTTAGTACCAACGGCCAATTTTTATGTTTGTTATTGCACAATTAAAGAGTTCGAAACACGTTTAATTAGTGAGGAACCTGCAAATAGTGACGCGTCCACCTGTATGAACCCCTCGAACCTGGAAGTTCTCAGCATATGAATTTCGTTATCGGCATTTGAATGAAATGTTGTTTCTTCAACCTACTTAATTACACTTGGTTTTATGATACGTTTGGCCTTTCTGTTCTCGTATAAGCTGCGTCCCTCTTATGTGGAATTCTTCCTAATTTCCTCTCAAGGTTAAGTATTTATATTAGGACAAATAAGCATCTAGTAGTGGCATTTTGAGCGTTTCTGTTGTGATAATGTAGGTAAATCGCATATAATTTATGAAGTGAAAAGTGTGACAATGTCTGTAAAACATGACCAACAACTGATTGATAATGTTTGTGTGATGGTTGTGCGTAAATTTAACCGAAAACACGACAGAATCAGGCAAGGCGTATATGATACGGAAGTGAACGACAGTGACAGAGCATTTGCTGTAGGCGAAAGGTAATCGATGGTAAACAGATGACGGACCAGGTTCAGTCAATAACGCCGTTCCTGGACTACTGCTACTTCTCCTGCAGACGGCAGCAATAAAAGAGGGTCCGTTGCTCCACTTTCATTACGATGGGATTACGGCTAGTCCCAGTCAACGGGTGGTCACTAAACGAGATATTATAGCTTTAATAATAACTTCTTTAGGCGCCTCATTTTCGTAACAATGAAGCAGTAGCTAATATTTTCGCTGACTAATCTTGAACATTTAAACGAAATGCGGCTTTCAAACTCCATGCTGTTCCAACGATGAGAAGTCAGAGTCGACAATTTTTACCGCCAATTCTTCTGCGACTACCATTCAGAGATGTATTTTCTTTATTTAATACTGAGATCATTGTTTTGGTTCGCCCAATTTGAATCTTCTGTGTCTTTTGGTTTTTGGTTTGGTTAAATTGCACTAAAATGAACATTAGAGAATTTAGATTGCACACTTTAAAAGTTTAATCTGTCTTCAGTTTGTAGACCAAGGGCTGGAATTTTAATTCTCGCCTAGCTGAAACGGCACTCCTTCGGTTAATTATATCGATGACTTTTAATCCAAGTTGTTCGGTCTTCTCTTGGTGATCCTTCCGACGGACCGGTTTTAGACTACATCTGGATGTTACTAATCGTATCTCTGGTGCAAATTAAAATTTACATTTTCCTTATGCGAATATTTCAGTTCCATGTGAAACTTGACATAGACTGTGGTTATGGAAAGTTAAATAATGAATATTTTATACATAACTCACCGCCGATAGTAAAAAATGTAATCGGAGGTGAAACCTATAGGATTTTACACTGCTAAACATGTTTTCTGTTCAAATTTGCCCAAGAGGGTTAATGGTAGTTGGCCGATTTAGATGATTTTCTTTGAGAATTTCATCAAAAGCTCATTTTTCGTCAACCACTGTTGAAAAAATGTATAAACTTATTTTGAACTTGGTCAAGTCTATTGATCATTGTTCCTTTTTAGAATGATGATTTTTGAATTATTTAAATGAATCTGAATTTCGAAGAAGATAAAAGAACGAAAACTGATTGCAACTGGAGCGAACTATTGGTAGAAAAATCAAATCGGAATCACTCAGGTTACAGGAAAACTCACATAAAGTATTCGTTTCGTTTCAGCTTTAAAAGCTTCAGCCAGATGTTGCTTCGATTGTAAAATAGTCAAAAATATATGTTTCTTTTTAAATAACAACGATATCCTAATTTTTAAACATAAATGTGTCTATAGTGCAATCCTCATTTTACTCTACAATTGTTTCTATCGAGAATAAACTGAAACTAAATTTTACTCTTTCAAACCTTCAAAAGTAATAGAAGCGCATTTTTTGAACTTCGGCTCTTAACACCTTAATATAATGTTCTATCAGACTCGACTACATTTCCTTTCACAAATCTGTTTGTTCTAAAGCTTCACATTCTCTTGATGCATCGTTTTGATCAGACGGTTTCTTTCAATAATTGTAGCTTCATCTTCTTTAAAATTGCGGTTTTGTCCTTTTCATCGTACTCACAAAACTATATCTACCGGTGATATTGCCGATGAAATCGGTAGAATTGATTCACCTTCTTCGCATGCCAAGATCCATCTAGATTATCTTTTTTTTCAATCGAAATTAAATATGTATGTAAAACTTAGTTTACGAACAAATTGCACTCAAACTTTCGCGTGACACTGGACAGTTCCAATATCTGGCCAAAGATCGGAAATTTGCCCGTTGTCGATTCGGTCTTTTCCAGATTACCGTCACAAGGCTAACTCTGTCCAATAGCAAAATATTGTCTTTTATGGAAATATGTGTATATATATCCTTTTATAAAGTCTGTGTGAACACCATATAAATAAAATATGGGTTCTTGTAGCAACTTAACTAGCCGCTGTTGTACAATTAAGAGTAGCAAGTAAAACTGAGAATACTTTCACGGAAGAAGCGAAGACAATATGGAGGCTGTTGGAAATTATAAGTAACATGTTGCCTGCATGTAACAAGTACAACTGGACTTCGCAAATTTGAATTATTTTTTGATAACGATCAATTTAGGAAAATTTACAACAATCAGATACTTTACCACTCATATGTAGGATGGGAATTTAAAGTGGATTGAAAACGTTAAGTTAAAATAGTTTGAGTGGTAAACAGTAAGCAAGTATTTCTGATACGATATTCTAAGACTCTAATTTAATGTTGATGCCGATTTGGAACGATAATTTACATCTCAGACCCCTTGAGTATGTATTTTGTCATTTGGTCGATTCCAGCTAAACTAAATTTATTATTCAAAAGTGTTTTAATCTTTTTTGATTATTTATTGGCCCCAGCTATTTACGTTTGTGTTTTATTGGTAAGTTAGATTTATCGCGATGATTATTTGAAGGATCTCCAATCCCAAGGAATTGGCAACATGTGGGCGAGTGCGGTTATTAAAAATGTTTTGGCCGAATCAAAATTGAATGCGAAATAAAATTCAAGACCTTGCTATTGGCAGGTAAAGAAACGAAGGGTTTCGTTAATTTACGCTTAATGCTTGAACTTCAAGGGACTGGAGTCCAAAAGAGCACTGTTTTATTATGTTTTTTTTATTATGTTTGTGATCATGAACATTTGATACCAGATAATCTTTTACTAGGAACTGAATCAAGAAAACATGATTTCTATCGCATAACTCAGTTTTTGCAAGTATCGCAACAATTAACCACGTATAGATTTGCATGTTAATTAACATTATTCGCATTGTTTTTCCATCTGACTTTAGATCCTATCCGACTTTATGACACACATTAGTAGCCCGAAGGTCAGTTAAGGCAATATCCATTCCATTTCACTAATACCTACAGCTTCCTCATTCGCAGTCCCGGAGTTTTGGGAACAGTTTTGCGACGTATGCATTTGCAGCAAAACAACGTCAAATGGGCTTTTAATCCCTAGGACTGCTTAAGTTAGAGCTTAAACTACGAAAACAACACCTTAATTAATTCCTTTCGCTGAACGCATATTTATATTTGCATTTTAATACGGACGGGTACTGTTGTCTTCCATATGGAAACGAATAGAAATTCGGTAAAGAGAGATATGATTAAAATAAGCAATTGACTAAATATTTTACTCCTCTGGGAAAGGACATGTTTTTCAAAATGGCTGAAAATTCTGCGGTCATTGTTAATAATCTGGAAACGAACGCTCCGTCGGGGTTAAAGTTAGTGCCATTTGTACCCTAGTAGTCATAAGTCGATTCACTGAACATGAAGCACTTGATAGGAGGTACTTAATAATTGAAATAATAATACGAAGTATTTCAGAGATTTAAAGTTAATGGCACTATTCTAGACTGGGACACTATTCTAGACTAATAATTATTTTGCACTTAAAATGGTTGTCTCGTCTTCGAAACTTTTGGCTAAAACCGCAAAACTGGCAAAAACTATGGCACCTTCTTCAAAATTGGTTCTTCTCAAAAAACCTTTCCACTAGAATTCACACAATTCATCAAAACTAAACAAATCTAACAAGAAGTATTTAATGCAGGTAAATGGTGTCCGAGGCGAGAATGGTCTTCACCACCCGACGCACGGGCAGCTTCCGACGCTGCACGTCGTGGCGTTTTATATTCGTCAGTCTTCCTGGGAAGTCCTGGTAAGTAGGCTTATGCATACATCTCCAAGTTCCGATGTTGCGCATTAGAGCCTTGTTTTGGTTCTCAATAAGCCGGATGGTTTCTGGGACCACTTCCAAATTCTAACTATGTGCACTTCGGAAACTAGGTCGTTTTACTTAAATTTTATTGGCCAGTAATCGATATGTTTGAATACTTTGGTCATTACCAACTTAGAAGGTTGAAATTTGTACAGCCTACGATATGAAAACCTGTTTACCGTCGCTATGGCAGTTTTGAGGAAATATTTTTAAGTACATCTCAGGCTTTTAGTGGATTAGTGTGGGATGTTTAAGCATTTTAGACGTTCAAACCCAATTCCAGCAACTTACTAAATTTGAATTTAGCGCAATTGACCGCCCACAACTGGAAAGAGGAGATTTTCTTAAACATCATGCATTAATGTGCTACTAATAAAGCCGACACACATATATTTCGCAAATCCTTTTCTTGGCAAAATTGCTTGACTACTGGCCAAATCCTCCATTTGATATGCTCAAACTAATTTCAAAATTTCTGTCCGACCCGCACGTAGATGTTAAAGGATTTTCATTTTATAGTAAGTAATAGATGTATTGTTCTTCTTCACTTTTTACGAAATTTTGTTCAGGTTTTTCTTCTCTTAGTTTCTTTTTAAAGGAATTTTCGCTTTCTAGTTGTAGAGATACATTTTTTCCAATGAAATATTAATTGTAGGTCAATTTTCCTGCGGCTTCGGTAACTTATTAAAGCTGCTTGAGATAAGTAATACTCCGTAACTGAAAACTTGTATTTTCGGTGTTTCGCTCACGCTGAAGTGTTTGGATTAGTTGAAATTGCCAATTCATTTGCAGTTATGTATTGTTTTGGAAATTCTGAAGTTTGTTTTGTTGACAACTTTTTGGACATTCCGGTTGTTTTATTTCGGATCGTAGGACAAGCTTTTCTTTGCTCATTAGAATTTGCCCTTATTTTATTCTCTCTTATATCTCGGTATGTTAAAACTAGTGATAAAGCATGGATTCTAAATACTAGCCCTCAGCTTGTATTGATTCTAATTGTACCAACAAACCTATTAAAACTTCGCCTAGTACCACCTCGATCTTCTCCAAAACTTTATTCGACTTTTCGAAAATGCAAATTATATTTTATCAGGTGACTCAATATTCGGAAATAGTTTTTGTGACTGATTGCATCTTCCTCAAACTTTCAAGTGCTTAAGTTTTCAATTTACAAAATGCCACAAGCGCTGATTTACTCATTGGTTGATTTGATTTTTACGCATATACATTCTTGACCCCTGTACCTTTTGTTACATCGATTAATGTTGATCAGCATCATGCTTCATAATTCACTTATCCACTGAGTCGCAAATTTAACGCATCCTTTACGTACCGATTTCCTAATTTTAAACTGTTTTTGAATCGAACCATAGCTCTAATCTTGACCAAAGTTTAAGTTATAAGTCAATGAAAAAAATGTAATAATTATTATAATATACCCATAGATACACTATCTGCAAAATCGTCTGTTTATCTCTAGCCATTCGAGAGGTATTAATTTTTTTATGAGCAGTCACATTTTCCGTATGAAATTTATTCAAGCACTTTTTCCTATTATACTTAGAGCGGTGAAACCCTGTTTATTTTGTTGCTTGTGTAACTTCCTAACAAAACCATATTCTTAAGCGTGAAAACAAGAATGCAAAACAACAGTCCGATGTCGAATGGCACAAGATTCAGAAGACATGAGGCTATAACACTGTGCTTTTTGCTCTCTGAGCAGCCCATATTGCCGACAGAAAGATTTAAATTTTGACCATGGAAACAGGACAATATTTAAACTTTCTGCACAATATGCCTTTAGAATTTTTTTTGCTTACTTGATAACTCAAAGTTTGTCCAAGAATAGAGCAAGTGGATAAGGAAATAATTGAAATCATATCACAGGCTGGAAAAATATGTGCAGAAGTTAGAAAATATTTAAGCTTTGCGTTAAATTTCCAGCGCATTGTATAAAATCGTAAAAATCGATTTTTACATGCAAATAGTTTCATATCAATACATCGGGAGCAAACGACGAAAAGTCCTTTTACAGTTGCGCTGAATATCAATTTCAAAATTCTGAATCTAAGGTTAGGTAATTTTAAGAATATTTCTTGTGATCTTGAATCTGGAATTCGACTTAGTCAGTGGAGACGACCAAGGCCCCCAAATTTAATTCTGTACAAATGCTACTTTAAGGGATTCAATTCAGTTATTCACAGCTTCGCTACATGAAATGTTCATTGTTTTATGAATCCTCATATGTATGTGCAGGTCAAAAGTTTCATGTTGGTAAGAATCAGCTCTATTACAGGAAATGTGTTCGCTTAAGGAAAGCTCATTTTCATAACTCTAATTATTTTGTAATAAAAGCCATTTCAATGTCGGTAGCACAACTCAATGTTTCAATTTTGGTATCTATAAAGATGTAATTCGCCAATATTAGAGCGGGCACTTTTAACTGAAAAAAAAAATAATCCCAAGCTCGGCTGATTCGTGTCCCCCATAGCAGAAGTAGCAAACACCAAAAGCGTAGCCGTGCCGCCGCCCAAAGGAGAGTCGCGTTGTTTCCATGGTGCGCTCGGTGTTTTGTCTGGTTTGGAGTTCCCCACATCGCCAGCACGGTCCCCCACTAGTTACATCGGAGGGAGTCGCCGACAAAAGGGGGGACAACGGTCGGCGTCGTCATGGTAACGACCGCATTCCCGCCTCGCAGCCATGGTAGCGGGGTGCGCCGGCGCTGCGCCGCTCCAGTGGCGCGGTACGCTGATATGGCGAAAATCCGCGGAGGAGGTACGTCGATGGACTCTCCTCTTTTTTCGTTATCGAGCCGTGCCGATGCACGTTGTTAACCTACTGCAGCGTCCGCGTTTCCGAATGCTAGCTGCCGCGCCACCATTCCACTTACATGTCGAGACATTCAGCTGGCCGCATAATTTTCACCAATATTGCTCAGCTTTATTGCTCTATTCACTTCTGAGAACCATGTAACGAACCAGCCGTGTATAATGTCGAGATTAAGCGTCCATAATCTGATTTGCAATGCCTCGCTCCTTTTTTGTTTCAATTCCGATCTCACCAACGCCTATGTCTTATGACAATGTTGTCGATGATTAATTGAGTATATTAATCCGCATTGACTCTACATGCAACATATGAGATTTGAAGCCGAGATCAGCCTACGCAAATGTGCGGGCTGGGCTGGCTCTTTAGTGAGTACGGTCGTGGTTGTAGTCTCTTTGACTAGTTTTAGAGTCACGCGGCCTCCGAACTTGCTTCAAAATTTGAAGCTTTATTTCAACCAACGCATAGCGATTTACTAAAAGCTCATTATATACTAATTTTACAGTCTTTGGTGCACTTCAGAAAACCTCACAAGTAGGATAAGTCGGGTAGTTATTTACCATTCTTTACATGTGAGTTTTTTCAAAGGGGAAATGTCGTCCAAGTAATAGACAATAAGACATTTCACTACACCCTTACTTAATAATACATTAGAATTTTCATAATTTAAAATCAAGATAAAAACACATGCACTTAATGTGCCTACAGTGTTAAAACGTTCCAATTAATGGCGAAATTTACACCAAGAATGGCGCTTTTGGGCGCAAACTGTGCCCATTGCAAAATGTTTTCGATTTAAGACATTTTAATTCTTACATTTTTCCTATTAATTCAAAAAATATTTAAGGAAATAATTCAAAAGCAAAATCATAAGCATGCAAATCTTTTGGTGTACGTTTCAACACCGTAAGGAGACAGTGAATCTTCAATTTCAACATGTGAACAGCCAACATGTGTTTTTTGCTGCATCAACATCTGTTATTTTGGTTGATCGGCGTTTTGTCACATCTTTGCTCTTTTCGTTTTTTCTCTTTGCATTCACTTCTGTTTTTCTTTTTACTGAGTTTCACTGACTTTTGCTTGTGTAAAAGTTCTTCGAGCAATTGGTTTCTGGACTATCTGTGACAACAGCGCTTTGCTGTTTCTTCCTTTTATTATTATTTTTGCTGCTCCGCTTGTTTTTGGTGAGTCAAGTGGCCGATTATTTTGCAGCACTGAAAAATAATAATTTTGTGCATCCTTACCATCTCAGCTAATTCACACATTCTAAAATTAAAAATTCCTACTTACCTATGCATAAGCCGGTATGCAAAAAATTAACGATGATACGAAATGTAACTTGTTTTTTTACATGTAGGTAAGTGAAAATTCTTTGTGATTTTCGATTTTCGTATACTTAGATATTCTGATTAAATACTAAAAACATTATTGTATTGATGTGGAGAGCAGAGTGGCAAAAAATTACACCACAGGTATTCACTTCAGATACTGAACTGAAAATACATTTAATAAAAGATTATTGTCGCAAGCGAAGCCCTATTGGAAAACCCTATGCAATTAGCACTCTAAACATACATTTCAAAGATTTGCATCACAATTTGTACTGAAAAATGCACCAAACAACTTAAGCAATCAAATTTTTTAAACCCTATCGAATCCATCCTTCCATATGAGACGTATCTAACTTGAGGATCAAAAAAATAATTTAGCTAAATTTGGAGCACATTTTCAGAGTCGGACTGTCGGAATTCTGTGAAACTCTGGAGAAAGCGATATTTTAGTGAGTAAAATAGTAGCGCAAAATTGACAACAATTATTCATTGATGTATGACTCATTATTTAATACAGTATTTTTCCATTGCCTTGTTATGAAACGCTTGAATAAAAATAGCAAATGATGAATGGATTTCTATTATAAACTTAACAAGAACAAAATGTATGCAAAGAAATAACGCACACGCCGACTTTACCTTGGCGCTTTTTTCACATATACATTACAGATTAACAAGATTGAAATTTAGTTCCATGGCGAGCTTAGTATTAATACTCGGAGCTAATTTATCTATGCCAGCGATCTGAAGGTATACCCGTTCCGTATATAGTAATATCAGGTA